TGTGTCTCATTCTGTGTCCCCGACCTTGGCAAGTATTCTCACTATTCTTTGGTACGTTAAATCCGGCCATTCTTAGGGCCAGTAACACGTTACCTTTAGTCCTAGGTGTGATACAGTTCTGCGTGCTGGATCAACTAGTAATCCTGACACTAATTTATGTATTGAACTTCGATATTATGTGTAATATATTCCTTAAATGGTTTAAAAATATAGGATCGGGTCATGTTATCGTAACATTTACCTTTCTTAAGGAAGTTATACAGACCTTCTATGCATTCCTTTAATTTTGTATTATTTACAATGCACACTCAGAAGGGTTGGTGTGTGGGTGCATAACAACTGAATACTCTTACAAGACTAAATTAATGTCACCAAAAATATCCTGTGGAAATAGTAATATTCCGCAAATATTGATAGAAAGGGAGTTTCACAGATAGGGAAGGCATGCGAAACAGATTAAGTCATGCAAAACTGCAACAGACAGAAATACTGCAGAAAAGAGACAGGAATGCACATAACAAAAGGACAGACATCACCCAATATTGTCATACACACAAAGTAATTCATACTCACCTCTAAATTCATCCCATTTTACAACAAAAAGGCTTATCTGTCAGGTTCACATTTGCAATGGATAGGAAACCAAGTCCCAGCCTTACGTTTGAAGTGCACCTGTAATGACTAAAGAATGTTGACTAATCTCTCAGCCAATGAACGAAGTCCTGCACTGCCCATGGTCCCAGGCTCTTGTGGGGAGACCTAAAGATCTCTGAATACATGTCACTGCCAATGCTCCCTCACAGTGCCAGACCAGAAGGGTTCATTCACGGTGGACTGCACCCAACTAGACCAGCAGCTCAGACCACTAAGTAGCCCCAACTGGATCACCAAGGCGTAGAAGTACAGGAAGACGTACTGAGGATGTGGCGCGTAATTTGCACTTTATTTAAATCCCCTTTGCACTCGTTTCACTGCTTAGTTGTCTGTGTTCCTACAATTACACTTGGCATTATAGCACTGTTGGCTCTTTGGATTTCCTGACTCTCGGGCCTGTTTACAGCTTACGATGCTTAGCTACCTGGGTCTTACCCTACTGGACACTATGACTTTGTCTCCTGGATTACCCTTACCTGATTTGTTTGCCTTGTAGTTTATCTCTCTCCCTATTGCCTGCTTAGGTTTTAGTGTGACAGTCCCTCATATCAAAGAAGAAACGAACAACGTGGAACAATATTGGGACCGATCTGAATTCCGATCTAGGCACCAGTCACACTGTCCCACTAACAGAGTGTATCCATCTATACTTTACTAAAAAAAAAAAAAAACAGAAACTACATTATAAGTAACTGATGTAGTGCTAATTTCGTGTTTACCGAGATTAATAGGGTAATTTACCAAAGTGTAAATATTTGGAAATTCAAATTGAATTTCAAATTAAGGCCAAAATAGCAAGTTGAATGGGAAAAATTCTCCAAGGCAGTTATGCTTCCAGTTAAGGTACTTTGGCCTCATATATGAAATTCACTTTGAATTACCACCAATTTTAGACTTTAGTGAATAACCCTGTTAATGTCTATGTTTTTTGTCTTCAATTCAATAGCAAAATAAGCCACTCTGACATTGAAAGTGCACAGCAGGATTAGTGCACAGCAGCAGTGATGATGGTGCCAGGACTGCACTGGCGTCATACCATGGTAAGATGACAAACCGTTTTAGCACTGTTTGTCAACTTATCTGAGTCCTGTCGGGCACCAGGGCCACATTAGGTCTTCTCCAGGTAGAAGCCAGATGTAAAGCACAAAAGATTAAAACAATTTATACATAATTTTCAATATTTTTTTTTTTTTTTAAATCTTTATTTTAGTGAGGCATTTACGCAAAACAGTATAAAGAATGACAATGGAAAGTTGCTCGGCCCTGAACGCAGTCAGGGGGAACGAGCTTCCGTAAAAAGTAGCCTCCATTTTTCTTTTTGTAACAAGTAAACAAAACAAAACACATGCTTGTGTTACAGGAAAACAACATTGTTCAGGATTATTTCAGTTCAGGCTATTATGTATAGCTATGTGTGTGGCTCTTCTGTGGTGTATCTGAGCTATAACACCATTATCTGAGTGGTCTGCTGGTTTGTAAGTTAGGTGAGTATATATGGCTGCTGTGTTCCAGTGAGCGCCGTTAAAGTGAGCCTGTATAGCGCTGCTAGTTAGATTATCCCCTGTGTTGCCCCTGCGTAGTGTGGTGTGCTCTCCACCTCAATGAGGCGACTTATGAGTTGCAGCTATTCTAGGTTTTAACCCAACATGGCGGTATAACTTGCCATAACGGGTATTAATAAGACGTTAGTTGACCTGGCTATGTGTATACTCCTTCACCCAGAGTACTACATTATTTGTGAGATGTTACATCAGATAGGGTCACGTTTTAGGAGGTGAGTCTGAGGCTGTGTTCAGCCAGCCCCGATGGTCAGCATGGTGGACTGTGCGTAATAAATCCTCAGGGGGAACCAAAAAAAAAAAAGGAAGAAAAAGGTTTATAACTTAGGCAAGTAGTGCCCCCTTTACTGGGTCTAACTCAAGTCAGTGCGGTGATGCGTTAAGGGTAGTCGGCAGGTCCGTTTGTTCTGGTGCCTGTTTGGGGTCGGCAGGTATGCTGAGTCATAGTTTCAGCCAATGCCTCTGGTGGGCCACTGCCTGAAGTCCTTTTCCAGGCCAGAGTTGAGGTATATGGGATGGACTGGACCCCTTTGGACTCTGTGTCTTGTCCCCACTTTCCCCCTCTGACCTCGGCTGACATTCTGTGCGGCATGAAGGCGGACTCTTGGTGGGTTCGGGAAGCTACGTTTAACACCGGAGCCTGGGCTATGCGCCTCCCGAGGGTGCTGCTTAAGTCCACTTTTGGAAAGGGGTCTCTGTGGGGGCGCTCTGTGAGCCGTCTTACCCCCTGGAGCTGACTGTTCTGGTCGTGCTCTCCTCCGGCGCCTGGATGCGAAGCCATTTTGCCTCTGTGTGGTCGGCACGGGCCGCTGGGCTGCCGGAGGTGATCGGCGTTGCGGGTTTGCTCTCCGCTGCCTCTCCTCGAGCTTTCTCCAGAATTCCTCTAATATCATGTCTAGTTTTGTGATTGTCGGTTCTGTGGAGCCTCGTGGTAATGTGAGAGGCCTGGCGTCCGCCATCTTGGGTGGTTTGAGGTGGAGAGGTTCTAGTTGTAGCTGGCATTGTTGCAGGGCCACAGGTACCTCCATGGTTGGAGTGATAAGGCCGGGATAACCCCCACCGGCAGGGGGGGAAGCAGGTCACTGAGCTGCGTCTGCTGGTTCCAGCAGGGAATCAAGCAGGGAGAGCGGCCGTCTCTCTCGCACTTTCACCCCCAGGTAGGCCGCAATATCGTGGTGGGCTTGCTCTGCTTGGTATGCGTTCGTGGAGCTCTGGATTGAGGCCGAGCGTGTCGTGGGCTGTTTCCAGCTCCTGGATTTGAATTATTTCGTGTAAAAAGGTTTGATTATGGGGCAATTTCAGTGATTCCCGGTCGGAGCTCACTCTGCTTGCGACCGTTCAGTTTGGCAGCCAGGCCCCGCCCCCCAATTTTCAATATTTTATTTGGTTGTGTAATGTCCAGAGACAGTGGCGGAACCACTGTCAGTGCGGCATGTTAATGTGTGCGTACACCCAGCATTCAAATTAAAACATCAACACTACATACAAACACACTCCTCCAATCAAACACCAACACTACATCCAAACACACCCCTGTATTTAGATGCCAACAATCTATACAAACACGCCTCTACATTCCAACACCAAAACTACACACAAATATACCCCTTCATTCAAAACAACAATACCTCATACAAACACACTACACACCTGCATTGAAACACACTACACACAGGTATGACACTGCTTTCAAGTGGCAACAGTACAAACACACAACTGTATTCAAATGCCAACACTATACACAAATAGACCCCCACGTTCACACACACACACACACACACACACGCACCATAGAAAACCATGCTCACATTCAAACACACGAAAACTTCCCACAAATAAAACTCTGCAAGGATGGTCGAATGGTAGATTCTCAGCTGGCAACGCGTCTTTGGAGATTTACGACAGATGGGAATCTACCTTTTGGCCACACTTATGCTGGGGGGAGGGGGCAAAATAATAAAATAATTTCTTGCATTGTAGAGCTCTCTTCATTAATTCTGCCCCTGTGTGTATAAATGATATTCCTTCTGTCGGGATATTTATTATTATATAATAACTTCATAATTTGGAAGAATTGACTGGAATTAAGGATTAGCTATACTCATTCAGAACAGTTTATCTATAAATTAATCATTATTACAGCCCTCTCTCATGCTGGATTAGTTTAGTAGACTCACATACAGCTTGGGGAGCAAACATTTTTTTTTTTTTTTAAATCAGATTAACTATAGCATTGTGTCTTTTTTCTGGAATGAGCTGACATTTCCCAGCACTGACTTTACAAAGTAACTGCAAACAGGAGTGGGAAAACAAAACCTGCTTCACACCCAGCCATGTGTTTACACAATAAAAGCTACACAGCTCTCATTAGCATGCAGAGCCACGCCCACTGTGACGTGTCCGTGCAGAACCTTCTCCACACCGAGTACGTGAGCCCCATGCCGTGACGTCAAAGGGTGGGCGGTAGTGTAAGTGGGCGTGTCCGTGGCTGCCAGTACTGTGGCGTGGTGACGCAGCGAGCTCTCAGAAAGCCCTGTGTGTGTGGTGAGTGACAGGCAGAGCGCACTCTCGGCTCCTGTGTACACCCTGAAGCGAGGTGGAAGAGAGAGAAGAGAAGGGAGGGAGAGAGAGTCCGGGGCAGACTATGCCTGCAGCAGCATCTCGCTGGTGCGTCGTCAGTCCACGCCATGGAGAGCTGGTGAGGGAGGTTTAAAGGGCTAAGCAGCAGCCTGGGCACCTGGGCACTTCCCATCTCAGCCCTGCTCTTCCTCCTACACCTCATGTGGGATGGCTGCCCCTCACCACCTGACCAATGATGGCCCGGCCAGCCTGGATCTCCACTCCCTGGGGCCAGCAGACAGCACAGACCTCGACCTGCTGCACGTGAAGAGCCGCAGGTCCCTGAATGGCTGCGTCCCACTGTCCCATCAGGTGGCTGGCCACATGTATGGCAAGGACAAAGTTGGTGTGTATTATGTCAGCTCACTGTTACTTAATCTGTGTGTGCTTTAGCCTGCCCTGTGCCATGTGTCACCTGTGAGGTCTCATGGAGAGGGTGACCTGCCATTTGGAGTGGGGTGTGAAGAGATTGTTAAAGGAACACTCCTAGTACCACTAACCGCAGCACTGGACCACTGCGGTGGTTATGGTAGTGTTCCTCTAGGCAGCATTGCGTCAGTGTAGTCCCGGGCATTGCGTCAGTGTAGCTTCTAAAAGCGTTTCAGAATGGCTTGACAAATCGCCTGGGACCGGTCGGGCGCCTGCGGAAGCGTCACCCATTTTTGGCTGAGATGAATAAGCTGCAGGAAAAAAACCCACATGTGGAGTGAGCATCCATTGTAAAGTGCTGCGGAAGTGATGGCGCTATATAAATACCATAATAATAATAGTGGAACCCAGATAAATTGTTTGAGAAGTTATGCTGGTATGGTGCCAGGGAACACCAGGCACCATAAACGCTACAGTGGGCTGTAATGATTATGGTGCTTCCAATGTTTTTGTAACATGATACATTCATCTGTGCTGACCAGATGTATAGATACCCATCTGTTGAAAAAAAAAAAAAAAGTAGCCTCAGGCGTAGAGCAGTTTTTCAGAATAAAGTTCATTACGTGACAACCGCTACAGTAATTATGCTGACTAGAGGAACACTACAGTGTACGGAATACAAACTTGTATTCCAGTTGCTATAGTGCCCTATGTGCAGATTTGTTTTGGGTTCCGTACGTTACTCCGGCCACTCCATCTCCCACGACATCATCTGGCTCTCAAGGCACACCGATACTCCTCTTAGAGTGCCACACGCACATTCACGTGCTTCTCCTAGGAAAGTATTGAATTCATTTCTTTTCTATGAGCTGCAACTTCATGTGACCAAGTTTTACTTGATTGGTGGAATTCCCTCTAGTGGCGATCTAGGAAACAGTCATTATAGGGGTATTTAACCCTGCAATGGAAACACAAGTACAAAGCTACATAACTTTTTTTTTTTTTTTTTTTTTTAAATTGGGAGTTAATGAAGAAGCAGTCCTTGCTTTGTTAAAGGGACACTGTAGGCACTCAGACCACTTCAGCTCATTGAAGTGGTTTGGGTGTAAACTCCCATCACCATTAACCCTGCAGTGGTAATTATTACAGTTTTTATAAACTGCAATAATTACCTCTGAAGGTTAACTCCTCCTCTAGTGGCTGTCTACTAAACAGCCGCTAGAGGGACTTCCGGAATTGAAATGTACTTTTGGTTCGTTATCTGACACTGGACGTCCTCATGCTATGAATGAGGACTTCCAGCGTCAGACTTTTCCCCATAGGAAAGCATTAAATAATTGGCCACTGCCGCGCATGTGCATTAGGTCTCCATCGGCAGGGGAGGAGAATGCTCGGAGCTGAGCAAGCACCTAGAGACATCAGCGCTGGATCCAGGTAAGTGACTTAAGGGGGGCGCAGCGGGAGGGGGCCTTGACAGACAGGAAATCTATAGTGCCAGGAAAAAAGGACAGTTTGATTTCCTGGCACTATAGTTTCCCTTTAAGCTGACTTTTCTGAAACTTATCTGGACAAGGATGGAAAAGAACGACACTGGAAAGTCAAGTTTGGTAAAGAAATGGCAGGGATTCCTTGCACCATAACAACTTAATCAAAATGAAGTTGTTATGGTTCCCAAACTTCCTAACTTCTGTCTCCTTGGACACAAGTTAAAATGTCACCTTGTAGGGTCTTTGCTTAAAGCTATGATTATAAATTAGAAATGTACGTTGACCAAAAAATGTTGGCCTAGGAATTTCAACTCTGTCTTATTTAAATTGATGAGATATTTTACAAGTTAGAAAAGTACCAACTTCAAATAATTGTCTAAAATGATTTTTTTTCCCAATACTGAGCGTACCCACATGAAAAAATAATGTATTTTAAGGTATATTGCGCTAGTATAGAAGTTCTTTGAGTGGTGCACAGTCTTGGCTACGGGGTTGTTTAGCATAAATGATTTAGTAATTCATTTTTCCGAAGTAGTTTGACTCACTAGGGCAGGGATTGGCAATAATGCTGTCAAAGTGTCAGGGGAGATGTAGTCCACAACATCTGGAGTGTCAAAGGTTACCCCCAGCACTAGGTGTTGCGCATGATCGTGCACCTAGAGTTTTGAATTATTTAAACACAAGCAGGATTATGAATTTAAACTGGAATTGACCAATAACTTCATATTTTATGTCAAAATAGCCAAGTTGGTAACAATTTTGCAGTTTGTCTGCTTTTGCCTCAAATTATAAAATTGTCTGGTCAATTCCTGTCTTAGTTAAAGGGTTACCCCAACCACCACGACCACTTCAGTAATTTGAAGTGGTCACGGTGGTAGGAGTCGGAATGTGCAGCGTTTCTTTTTGAAACACTGCACATACTGATATATTGTTAATTGTGTACTGGGGGCTAGTTGCACCCCCAGCACACTTGGCATTGGCCTAATTTCAGTTCTGTGCATAAACTACATCTGTGGTCGGAACGCACATAATAATAATAGTGGAACCCAGATAAATTGTTTGAGAAGTTATGCTGGTATGGTGCCAGGGAACGCCAGGCTCCATAAACGCTACAGTGGGCTGTAATGATTATGGTGCTTCCAATGTTTCTGTAACAAGATACATTCATCTGTGCTGACCAGATGTATAGATACCCATCTGTTGGGAAAAAAAAAAAAGTAGCCTCAGGCGTAGAGCAGTTTTTCAGAATAAAGTTCATTACGTGACAACCGCTACAGTAATTATGCTGCCTAGAGGAACACTACAGTGTATGGAATACATTTCTAACAGACACAGAAATCTTACTCTTGCAGGGGGAAGCTAGCTCTCTCTCACTGTGCTCCCTCTGTGTAGCATTTTTAAAAAACAAAACAAAAACCCTCCCTCTTTCCCACTCACTCAGATTCCCTCGCTGGCCCGGAGCGGGTATATGCTCTCCAAACTGGCAATTGGTCCAGTCACAGGCTTCTATATGAGAGTCCTGTGATAGGACTGTGTGCAGCCCCAGTCAGGAGGGGACGCAGAAGAGCAGCACTGGGAACTTCTTCCAACTCTGAATTTAAGGTGAATAAAACCTTCTTTTTTTTTTTTTTTTTTAATTGAGAAGGGGACCTTCCCCACAGTGCCCAGTATGGCATATTACCAGAAAGGTCCCCCCTCTCAAAAAGCTTATAGTAACCCTTACAAACTGTAGACTTCTCGCTGGTGCTGATTCTCATGGATTATGCAAAAATATGATTTACACACATAATCTAAAAAATAATACTTTTGTAACCTGGTTTTTGGATTCAGTGAAAAAAGTAGTGCTTTAAAGGGATACTATGGTGTTATGAATATAAACCTGTATTCCTAAGTCTATAGTGCTTTTCTAATTATTTAGTTGACCACCCCATTAGCAATAAAAAAAGCATTCTACTTACCTTTCAGACTATGATTCGTTGGTCTTTGCACTGCCACCCCTCCTCTCTGGCTGAGATCATAGGAAAGCATTGGGAGTCCAGTGCGCAAATTGAGGTGCTGTGCCAATCAAAAGCTCTCTACAAACATTTCATTTTCAACCAGACGATAACTTACTTTAGAAGTTTTTCTCATGCTCTGCAAATTGCACTTTAATCACGCACAGGAGACTCCTGTAAGGTTTAGCAAACCACTAACGGTGCAGGAGATAAGATTTTCTAAATTAAAAACACTCTGCAATAAAGGAAGTATAAACATTAGATGTCACTTTACAGGAAGTGTTTAGAAAGGTTGTACACGTTATATGCAGATGGGGTATGACTATAGCTGCATGAACAAAGTAATTTGACTTGTTAATGACAGAGAACTGAGCAGTGAGACTGCAGGGGCATGATCTGTATGACAAAACTCCTTCATTAAACTAAATTTGTTTTGGAGACTATACCTTTAATCGTGCAATGAAAACATTTCTTGTTCCTACAAAACTGCAGTGTTTTACATTGCAGAGTTAAAACTGCAGGGGCACTGCACACAGACCATTTCATTAAGCTAAAGTGACATAGATGGTTTTAGTGTCCCTATTACACCACATTGAGTTTGTAGTCTTGAAAGCTATGATTTTTTATTTTTTTTATTTTAGTGAAAAAATTAAAGTATAGTACTCTAAATAGTAGGCTAAACGTGACTCATAAGAATTTTGCTGAAATGCACAATTGCTTAATTACATGGTAATGTTGAGTAAGCATCATATTGCATGGTTTATGCACTAAACTAGTGAAATGGCTATCCAATTGTAACATGGAAAAGTTGGCTAAATGAGGACGTTGGCAATTTTTCCAAATTGTTTCCTTAAATGTGTAATGTGGCTGTCAGTTGCACAGTATTTTTCTAATTCCTGGTTTAGTGAGTTATCTTGTACGTCTAAGCATTATCGTTTATTAACTACACTTGCAGTTGTGGAGAATTTACAAAGGAATTACACACTTGCAGTTGTGGACAATTTTTTGATTTGGCTTTTTTTTTTTTTTTGCATAACATGACCCACTTCCTTGTAATTTCTCTACAGTAAACCTCTTTATCCTGCAAGACATTAACTTTTAAAGAAGCTCACTGAGGTGACCCCATTACAACCTAATTTCAGGGCCAATGGAGGAATTTAACTTCCTCTTTTGATATCCAAAAACTGTCCAGCTTTGGAATGCTACATATGCACTCTTTATGCACAACTTGGATAAGGCATCTCAAGTCTCCACTTGTCAGTACTAGAAATAACACAAGCCACAAGTGCTGCTTGCTGTGTCACTGGTTCAGGAGATTTCTGTACATGACTTGGTACACAAAAATGTGAACTGGGTTGTGAATATGTTGATTGACTAGAACTCTAATTGGGATTGGGAGCTCAATTACACATTCTATTCAGCACTACTAGACAGCGATTTATGGGGTTAAAAATCCATATACAAAAATGAGAGGCTCCTAATTGGTTGAGACTTTCCTGGTTTGGAAAGTGTCAGTTTGCTGCAGCAAACTATATATTAGCTATATAAGCATTTAAAGGGACACTGTAGTCACCTAAATAACTTTAGCTTAATGAAGCAGTTTTAGTGTATAGATCATGCCTCTCAGCTTTCACTGCTCAATTCACTGCCCTTTAGGAGTTTAATCACTTTGTTTCTGTTTATGAACTGGCTCAGATTGACACAGCCTGCATGAACTGGTTTCACTTTCAATCAGATGTAATTAACCTTAAACAATTTTATCTCTTGTTTTGTAAATGTAACTTTAATCACAAACAAGATCCTCTTGCAGGGTCTAGCATGCTATTAGCATATCAGGGGATAAGAAAATCTAAGTTAAACTGAACCTGCAATAAAGGAAGGAAGGATAAACATTAGATGACTCTTTAGAGGAAGTGTTTAGTCACATGGAGTGAGGTGTGATTAGGGTTTATAAACAAAGTGATTTAACTCCTATATGTCAGAGAATTGAGCAGTGAGACTGCAGGGGCATGATCTCTACACCAACACTGCTTCATTAAGCTAAAGTTGTTTTTGGTGACTATAGTATCCCTTTAATGCATTAAGAGGGAGTGTGATTTCCTGCATATTTCTCTTTAAAGTACTCTTCTTATATAATGAATACATCCTCTAGGCATTTTTTTTTTTTTTTTTAATACATGGATGATAGCGCTCTGTGGAGAGGGAGCAAAAGGCTCACACGTCCATCTTCATTGGTGGCCAAGCTCTGCCCCATCCTCTAGGCAAGGCATAGGCAACCTTCGGCACTCCAGATATTTTGGACTACACCTCCCATGATGCTTTGCCAGTATTATGGGTGTAAAAGCAATATGGGGGATGTAGTCCACAGCATCTGGAGTGCCGTAGGTTGCCTATCCCTGCGTCTAGGCATTCTGATTTGTGCGACAATATTTCTTGAAAGAATCAGATGTTACAATAAAGTAATGAAAATTCTGTGTTTGGATGGAGTTAATACTGGTTTCTCTCTGGTATTAACCCTAGTGCGTATGTGTGTGTGACTGTGGTGTAAATTGTTGTTCATTATGTTAGGTGTGACATGCAGGCCAACTTTCCCTGCAATAAGTGTATTTCAGTTTACATTGCCAGGACATTTCCTACGTGTTCTTTCCTCATTTTAATGCAGTACAAATCTGGGCACTCAGCACTTAGAGAGTGGGAAAAATCAACTTGGTATACTTCAGGCTGTCTAAAATTGCAGGATTCCAGGATTGATTCCCATTAGTGTAGTTTATTAGATTTTGGATTACAATTTCTGTCAGATGGAGTCTGACTGCAATGACACAACTCAGGCTTTTTGCTGATGCAAATGTCAGGGCTCAGCCATTAATTTGATTTTGTGGTATACTTATTGTCACATATATCTGTAATAAAAAGCAGGATAGAAATCTGGCAAATGGTGGTGGTAAGTGCCATGATGCTTACAAGTGTGTGTGGGTTTTTTATTTTTTTAGGTTGATTACTGTGGTAATCAAATGGCAGGTAATAGTGTCAAACGGTAAAGAAATAAGCAAAGCTAACTTCATCTCAGTGTCCTTTTAACCCTGCAGTATAAAACACGTCTACATTAGTGTTAGGTCTACCTCCTGTGATTGTCATTATGACCACTAGAGGTGCACTGACAGAGTAAATCTTGGCCATGTGATCTGAAAGCCTCATAGAAAAGCATTGATTCATGGGGACGTTGGAACAGGGCTTGACAAATTTGTTTGGGATCTAGGAGCCAGTTTTTTTGTTGTTTTTTTTTAACTAGCGATTATTAATTTACGAGAAATATACAATTCTTAAAGGGACACTATAGTCATCAAAATCACTACAGCTTAATGTAGTTGTTCTGGTGCCTATATCCTGTCCCTGTAGCCTTTTCAATTTAAACGCTGCCTTTTCAGAGAAAAGGCACGGCGTCGGAAAGAAAGTGCGTAAAAACACCTCTCTCGTGATCGGAGGGATGCAGGTACCTAAACACACACACACACTCTCTTTCCATTTTAATTCTAATCCACTCAGCCTCACTACCTTTGGGAGAGTTGAGTGGATTTTCCCTGGGGTCCAGTGGGACTGCTCTTCCTGTCTGTGAGGGAGCAGTAGTCTACCTGCGGCTCCTCTCTGCTCCCTGTAGGGATGCCAGGGCCGGAATTACGTCATATTTCGGCTCCCGGCATCCCTATGCAGCGTGAGGGAGCAGAGAGGAGCTGCTGGGAGATTACTGCTCCCTTGTGTGCTGCCCCAGCCTGCCTCGGCCACCTGCACACAATCCAGGGCGGCCGCCTGCAGGCTCACTGAGCCGGCCGGCTCCATTGTTTCCCCATCCTGCCTTTAGCTAAAGGGCTTCAAATCTCAGGTGCCAGGGCCAAATTTCTAGTCGCCATGGGGACCTGGTGCCTGGGATTTGTCGAGCCTTGCGCTAACATGAGCGGTACGGACTAATCATGGCGTGTTCGGACTCTATTGCTCCTCTATGAGGCGCTTAGAAATTGACATCTGCGGAGGCCATGCCTTCTCTGTCGTTGGAGCCGGAGAGGTAAGCAAGAGAGCCTCGACGCTGGAAAAAGGTTACTAAATCTTTACTTTTTAATGCACCAAGTGAGGGAGTCATTAATACAAGCAGGGTCAGGAGCACGTTTTGTATTTCTAAAGCTATAGTGTTCATTTAAGTGTTATATTTGCTAATGCTCATCCCATAGCCACTGCATTCCATTCTTATTTAAAAAGTCAGGTGCATTTATCATGTCTATAGAATTGTTGGAATTTTTGAAATTTTGTATATCCATAACGTTCTTATTTCTAATCTCTTGTCTAGACAGAACTTTTGTTTCATGTAAAGCAGTATTATGCTTCCATCACGGCTGGTAACTGCAAATTCCTGGCATAGAGTTACTTAATCGAAGAAACAGCACATTGTAATGGCTATGGTGGCTAGAGTGCCCAGGTGACCCTTCATATTTGAAGTAGTTAAACAGTTTTAGAAAAGTTTGACTTCTTACCCGGGGTCTGTTTGAGCTAAGGCAGGCTGTGCAGCCAATGAGCTAACGGAACTCCAGTTAAGAAGTTAAATTTCTCAAATACTTTTTACTCCTTACAATGGTGTCATCTTCGGGGGAGGGAGAAGCCTGTCTTATCCCCTTCTCCTCCTGTCTTTTTGGGCTCACTCACACCATCCTATCTAGTTGTTTAAGGGACTTTGGACAGGGAGGCCCAAATCCATGAGACATCATGGCTTTAATATTCATAGCTATCCGACTCCTCGGGAGCCTTCTTTGACCTGGCCAGTGCGCTCTAACGTACTGCCTCTCGGCTGATGTACACTCACAGATGAAATCGCAGTTTGCAGATGTCTTCCTTTTGAAAGAATTGGGCTACAAACCAGAACCACTGCAGTACATGCGGACAGTGGGCTGGATGGAATTCGTGGCTCGTATCTTGCAGATCCTGGGGAAATCCATAACTTTGTGCTGTGCATTGTAATGGTGCCATCTACATGCACTCTTCTGCTTTTGAAGGAACTGGGTGCCAGTGCACTGTAGTAGTTATGGTGCTTGGAATGTTACTTTTAAAACCTGCGGTCACAGATATTTTGCTGCCTGATGATGGTAGTAACAGCTCGTCACAGAGCTTTGCATAATTTCAAGGTTTGCAATGAACTTCCTCCTTGCAGATTGTGCCATGCTGTGACACAGCATAGTCCATCAGCTTTATTGCAGGTTCTATGCTGTAATCATTGGTAAAGTTCCATTGTCAGTTCTATCATGATGTAGGAATGTGGAATTTGTATCTTCTGATCCCAGGGCATGTAGTTTTCATGCAATTTTATTAAAATTTTTGCCTTTAGCCCAGCTGTTGGCAAGCATCAGGGAAGTCATATGATAGACAGGTGTATGAGGGCCATGAGTGTTAAGTCTGCACCTCTGGCAGGTGCAGGCCTGTTTAATTGCTGCCTTGAGGTTCAGTGTAGAACTTATGCTGTCCCACTAGACTGCCAGAGAACCTGATTCCCTATTGGATTACCAATTATGTTTGATGTATTTGTTGTAGTAACTATTTTCATGCTCAAAAAATAAGATTTAGCAAGGTACCCACATTTGCATGCATTAACACTACGAATGGCGGCATTTTGGGTAGGGTAAATTGATATACGCCTTGCATGTCAAACTCAAAGGCTAGCGCAGACCAAATAAACAAGGTCTAAGTTTATGTGGGCCGCAAAAAAAAACAAAAAAACTTTACTTTTCAAAATAAACATACATTTCTATGAAAATTTAAGTATATAAAAAAAAATATATACTGTTTAGTAGATACAGCAATGTTATGTTTGCAGAGTTAACACACCTCCAGTGGAGGGGGCTATAATCTAAATAGTTAGTTGGGCACAATAATGTTATTGGTACATGTTTAAATTAACTACAATATAGTTCTTGTAATCTAGGTTAAAAAAAACAATACTCACATCTATATAGTTCAACCTTAAAACACATTCCTTTATGCTACTGATCCCAAGCCCACAATTGTAGAGATTTCTAGTTATGCCACAAAAAGGGGAAAAAAATCCTTCTTGACTCCATAATGGCAATCTGATTTCTCCTGTGATCAACAGATTGTTCATTCATATTATATATTTGAATATTCTGTTTATTGCAAATAGTGTTCCTTTAAGGAAACGGCACTGGGTTTCTTCATGTCCCTAAATGTTCCTTTTTGTGTATTTATCATACAATGTTTGTTTACTGTTATATGCTTGCCCAGTTACTTCACCTTTGCTACCATTTTGCATTCTGAGCAAAAACACACACTGTAAAGGAACATTTTATTGGAAATAAAAAAACCTAACCTTACCCTTAACCTCCCCCTTAATAAAATTAAAATTTGGGGCGGGGGGAAAGGTTTTGCTTTTTTCTGCTTTCCATGACATCACACAAATGCTAATAAACGTCCAATCCTAATACAGAAGCATTGGGGACGAAAAGCACATGTGTGGCAGTACTGTGCGTCTCTTAGCTGTGAGAACCAGGTTTAACTCTGTTCGTATAACGGAAGACCCTCTGGAAGACAGCCACTAGAGGCGTATTTACCCCTGTAATGTAAGCATTGCCATATTTTTCTTAATGACAATACTTTACATTGCAGGGTTTAAATGAAAGGACTAAGACACTGATAGTCTATTTTACAAAAATATATAAAAGACAAAAAAGGTCCTTAAAATAAAATAATGTTAAAAAAATAAAACTTTGCTATTGCTCAAAACAATAATAAAAAAGAGGCAAAGAAAAAAAAAAAACTAAAACATATTTGAAAAGTTAATGGACTGAATGCTTGACAAGTGAAGTTATGTAACTAGAAACAATTGCTAAGAAATAATCCTAACAAAGTGTTTCAGGAGGCTTGAAACAAAAAGGTTACTTCTATAGAAGCACAATTTACCAGGGCCTTTGCTGTGTGGACCAAAATGAGAGCAACTACAACCAATAACACTAGATTTTGGGGATTGTTCTTCTGGTAATATCCAAACTGATAGTAGAAAAAAAAAAAAATCACACGCTAAATTCAACTTAAAGGACCACTATAGGGACCCAGACCACTTCAGCTTAATGAAGTGGTCTGGGTGCCAGGTCCCTCTAGGATTAACACTGCTGCTGTAAGAGAAACTGCTATGTTTACAAATGGGTTAATCCAGCCTCTAGTGGCTGTCTCATTGACAGCCGCTAGAGGCGCTTCTCACTGTGATTTTCACAGTGAGAAGACGCCAGCGTCCATAGGAAATCATTGAGAATGCTTTCCTATGAGACTGGCTGAATGCACGCGTGGCTCGTGCGGCGCATGCGCATTCAGCCGATGACTGGAAAGGAGGAGGAGAGTCCCCAGCGCCGAGGGAGCCCGGCACTGGAAAAAAGGTATGCAACCCCTTCCTCACCCAGGAGCCCGGTGGGAGGGGGACCCAGAGGGTGAGGGGAACCCAAGGGCCCTATAGAGCCAGGAAAACAAGCCTTTAGTTATTAGTCCATTAACTTGTTGGGTGGGAAGCGTTATTATTTTCACTGTGTGTTAAACAAAAAAAATGCTCAAAGAAATGCTACTAAGAGGCACAAAACTTGCTCTATATGTATCTAAAAATTGTGTGTGTGTGTGTGTGTGTGTGTATGTATGTATGTATGTATATATTTATTTCCTCAAAATGGTATTTCCTTTCTTCATTGTGTGTGTTTTTTTTTTTTTTTCCTTTCCTCAGGGATATTACAACATCCAGATGGGACTGTACTGAAACAATTGCAGCCACCGCCACGTGGACCAAGAGAACTGGATTTCTATAACATGGTAATTATTCTGCTGGTATTAACTAACCATTCTACTTGTACTAGTCTACTTGAGTCATCTCAGTAATACATGGATACATACAGTGGTGAGAAAAGGTTTGCACATCGCTATAGTGATATAATCTATTATTAATAGATAAAGATGACCTTAAAGTAGTTAAAGTTGTTGTAAATTCAGACTTATTTTTTTTGAGTGTTAATCTGACAATTTTATTACGTTTCCAATCTGATTAGTAAAGCGTTTCCTGCATATTTCTTTAGTAATTTGAGAAATCAAACCCAGATGAGACGATTATTTTTGACATTCTATAGTTTGAAAAATAATGCACGTAAAAATGAAATGACAGAGGAGGGAAACAAGAGTGTTCGAGACATTAATACAAAACATGACATAACAATTGCAAGTTCGATTAAACATAATATTCTATCTATATATATATATATATATATATATATATATATATATATATATATATATATATATATATATATATATATATATATATATATATATATATATAAATATATAAAACCCGGGACAGCTGGAGGGTGGTAAGGTTAATGAGAGGTGTGTAACAAGTGTACATAACCCAGGTGTCTCCAGGAATGGAACAGTAAATATGTTGAGCAGAGAAACAGGAGTAAGATGGGGTAGGGGGTCGATATATTTACGGGTGTAGTATTACATTCTAGTATAAGGACTTTGGTCAAGATGCATAAGATGTGGGGAAAAAAAAGAAGCTATTGTGCGTTAGGTCTATTCTGGAGAAAGTATCTAGTGATGAATACAACCTGTGTAGAGGAACTGGGGAATTATGCAGTGAAGTGAGTTACCCCTAACCAAGGGCGCAGTGGTGGGATGGGACTGGAGGGAACTAAAGTAACCAAAACGGGTCGGCCTGGGTCGACCCAAAACCATACATAGCAAACTATACTTCTGTAGCTTGAACCCTGCTTTTCATCTTTAAAAAAAAAAAAAAAAGAAAAAAAACACACAAGATTTGCAAAGGTAGAAAAATAAGAAAACTTGGGAAGAAAGTGTGAATATTGAGCAAGGATATCCAAACTTCCACTGTTTAGCTAACAAACAGGTGTTAACTTCGAATGGTACCGTCACCAGCAGTAGTCCGGTAACTGGGCCTTGGGATCCCCCTGGTCTTGGGACAGAGGAAGTGATGGTGACAGTGTCCCAGATCTCTCAGGCAAGGCAGTCCCAGGGCTTCCAGAATGGTGGGTGCTGCAGCTATCGATGCAGGAGTATGTGTAGTCTCCATCAGCGATCCTGTTGTTTCCCGTTTGTAAGATATTCCAGCATTCCTCAGTTGTGACATGACTTCTCTGAGGGACTTGTGTCAAATCAGAGAGGCTCTGCTGAGGGGATGAGGAAGGGTAATATTTGACCCATAAATGTCAAAATAGATGTAAATCTTAGGTATGTGAGGTACTCGGGACAAATAAATCACTTTATTCAGGTTTTGTTCTGGATGCCCTAGTTTTGCACAAATTATAGTGGCAAAATGGCAACAAATGTTATTTACAATCAATAAAACAGTGGAAGAAAACAATACAAGATATGGCGTTTTTTTTTTATTTTTTATATTGAAGCCAGAGATTACTGTAGTAGTCAAATGACACAATTTATTTTGATTGTTATAGGTTTTTACAAAAGACTGCACCGACCATAACCTCCTTGACCTTCAGAAGTTTTTGCCAAAGTATTTTGGCACGTGGTCACCATCAGGATCTGCAAATGGTATGCATACTCACAGTAAATAGAATCAAATTCATAGAATTCAGTCTTTCACGCTAACCTTTGCCAACACTGAAGTAATATACAGTTTTGTCTTCCTTGAGGCATAGAAATTCCACGCAGAATAGCACTTTAAATTTCTCGCAGGACCAGGTAGCTTGTTCTAGAATCCTGGTCCCTCTGTTGTGACTGTGATAATTCTAAATTTTAACTGCACGTTGTCAGTTCTAACCTGTTAATGATAGACTGTGAGCACTAGGCTAGATGTAGTGGTTATGGTGAATCAATTATTATTATAGTAAATTGGTTAAACTCCCACCTTAGTTATTGTTTTAATATAATTTTGGAATCATCAAGGGGAATTTATATTTATTTGTAAACATGCCACATTCTCGTTTTTTATGTTCTTGTAACATAAGATCTAACCTGCACACTGCTTTTAAATGTATTGTGCATTTTTAATCATAAACCTTCATATTGCAATCCAGTTTTCAGATCAACAAGTGCATGTTTTCAATTTGCTAAAGGTACAATCTGGTCCTCATGAAAGACATCATGCCCGCATGGAATTTCAGTTTATTTGGCATTTGTTCCTTTGTACAGCTCTGCTGTCATTAGAAAGGCATTACATTTTGGAAAAGGATTATTAAGGATTAGATTTTCATGTGATAGACAGTCATTGGTACTTGTCAGTTTAGTGAAACAATCAAATAACTGGCCATAAATACAATGTTACGTTGACAAGCAGGATGTATGGCTTCTAATGGTTAAAGGGATCACTTCATTAAAGTAGGAAAAAATAGTAAATATTGCCCAACAGAAAATATGCATATAATTTGTTATGCATGTTGTTTCCCCCCCTTCCTTGCTTTACGGGGGTACATGAAATCTTGGCTTGCAATAGGAATATATATAGGATCCCATTTTTAGCCCCCCCCCCCTTTCTTTTCCAGCACAGAACTTCTGTGGCAGTCCAGTAACAGACTTTTCTATGAGATTTATAATAGTTCACGAGAAGACTTTGCAAGGCAGATGCTCTGTGCAGGCACTACCTGAAGCTAAACTATCCGGAAGCATAGGATCGGCTGTCTGACATTTGAGGAGTTGCAGCAAGGTTAATTTTTAAAAGCGCTATGTGGAGTGTTCCTTTAATGTTTATATAACACACTGTGGCATCCATAATAATGTATTCATTTATCTGCAAATATGTGCCATGCAAAATAAACATATATTGATCTACCATGTTGACATTTGCATAGTTAGATTTGCGTTTTGTTTTTCCTAGATCTTTATTTAAAACTGGAAGATGTAACCCGTAAATTTAATGAACCATGTATCATGGATGTGAAAATTGGTCAGAAAAGCTATGATCCATATGCATCTTCTGAAAAGATCCAACAGCAGGTCAGCAAGTACCCACTGATGGAAGAAATTGGTTTCCTGGTACTAGGTATGAGGGTAAGTGTGTTGGATGTCTCAATTTATAATTTTACACTTTCTGACAAAGATTTACCATGTGAGCAGTTTGCAACTTCTGTAATTGTATTTAGCAGGAGCTAACTGTGGTGTTATTTCTTGTTTTTTTATTTTTTTATTTATATTTTACAGTAAAAGGCACTTGGTGACACATTTTATCTCAGTTTATGTTCATCCCGTTTCTAGCTCATGCTTATATCTATTTATTAAGTTTCTGTGAACCTAAAGGGACACTACAGTCACCAGAACCACTATAGCTTAATGTAGTGCTTCTGGTGTCTATAGCCTCTCCGTGCAGACTTTTCAATGTAAAGGCAATTGTTACAAAGCTGAAACTTTTCTTTTCATTTTTATGGCATATGGGGTGGTGCAGCTATTCTAATTCTATAGTGTTCCTTTAAGTGAAACTGAATTTGTGGTAGAAATAATTTTTTGTGCAAGATACATCCAATTTAATTGGGGAATGGATGCTTCCAATTAAATATTTCATGCAGAAAATAGATATCAAAACAAGTAACCTGCTAAAAGTGTTTTTTTTTTTTTTGGTAACCATCTGTTTACACAGCCTGCTCCGTGCAGAACAGGCCTAGAACCTGTTAAATTACAGTGCTTGTCTGGCACTGAATTGGGTTAAATGCTTTTAATAGGGATTATCAGACATTATCCCTCACATAAAGCTTTTACACCTACTGTTCTAAATCCTGATTTGGGTATTGGAGCAGAGTAAAACATAATAAGCCTGCGGGGAACTAATTTTCTTTCAGTAAATTTTGCTAGAGCCTCTCGATGAGTCATGTTTTGTCAGCTCAGTGCCACCTCCCGTTTTTTGTTTCACAAGTGAAAATGAACACTGAGCAAGGCGTTGTGGTTTTTTTTAAATGTAATTCTTTCGGTATGTGCACAGACCGACACTTTTTTGTTTTGGTGAGGATTTACTTTCATGAAGTCTATTAAAGTAAGGAGAGCATAGTTTTATTTTTGTTTTTACATTGCCTTGTAATGGGGAAAGCAAATCTAGAATTTTGTGTATGTATGTATGTATGTATGTATGTATGTATGTATGTATGTGTATATATATATATATATATATATATATATATATATATATATATATATATATATATATATGTGTGTGTGTGTATATATAAAATTTTATTATAAATCTAACCCCCCCCCCCAACCTTACTGTTGACTGACCCTGACTTAGGTACGCTCTGTTTGCTCTTGGATGGTACTTGACAAGTAGCACATCTCATTGTTTATATAGTTTTATAATATTTCTTTACATATTTTACCTTCCAAAGGAAGATCACCCTTGCAAATGACTGTCTGCATCAAAATATTGCATTTTTGTTATATATATTTGATATTCGGTTTCTCCATACATGTTTTGGGGAGAAACCTCTTAGAATTGGTGAAGGAACTTCATTTTGAGACCATATCTGGCCTCTATAGATCAATAAAGCCTGGCACTCTCTCTTATAGGGTTGTTGACTAAAGTGTAAATGTTTTCTTTTTCTTTTTTCATTTCAGCTAGTTTAATCTTAAAGGACCATGTAGCACCAGGAAAACAAACTGTTTCCTGGCACTGTGTAGTCCTTAGGTCCCCCCACCTTCATGGCCCCCCTCCTGCTGGGCTGAAGGGGTTAAAACATTTGCCTTTCTCCAGCGCCGGGCTCCTTTGGCGCTGGGGAACTCTCCTCCTCCTGCCGACGTCGGCGCCAAGAGCCACGCACGCATTCAAACCACCCATAGGAAAGCATTACTCAATGCTTTCATATGGACGTCAGCGTCTTCTCAATGTGATTTTCACAGTGAGAATTGCGGAAGTGGCCTCTAGTGGCTGTCAGTGAGACAGCCACTAGAGGCTGGATTAACCTTCAGTGTAAACATAGCCGTTTCTCTGAAACTACTATGTTTACAGCTGCAGGGTTAAAACCTGGGGGACCTGGCACCCAGACCACTAAATTGAGCTGAAGTGGTCTGGGTGCCTTTAGTGGTCCTTTAATTCAGTAATACTATAGTGTTAGGAATACAAACCGGTATTGCTAACTCTGTAGTGTTATATCATTTTAGATTCAGGCAAACTCCAGATTAAAAAAAAAAAAACCTCAAAACATTGGACTCCCATATTTTTTCCCGGTCGCATTGCTTTCGCCGCGATCGGCCACTTCCGCTAGCTGATTATCAATTCTAATGATCTCAGAGAATCCAGTGCTTACCTATGAAGAAGCATTGTGAGTTAGTGTGCACGTGACAGTCTCCGCTCTATGATCAATCAGTCGCCCTATACGAATGCATTGGGTCAATGCATCCCTATAGGGAGCTTTCTGTGCTGAACATCAGTCTTCATTCTTTGCAGAACCTCATCCAAAAGGTCTCTCCAGAACTGTCCGAGTGACAGCCATTAAAGGAGGTGTTACACAGCTATGTAAACTCTCCCTTTTCTCAGAAAAGGTAACTTTTACACTGTTTAGAATGCAGGGACAGTCTCTGTGCATCAGAACCACTATATTAAGCGGTAGTGATTCTGGTGCCTATAGTGTTTGCGGTGTAGCTGTAGAGATTACTTTCTATAGAGAAAAATGTGAGAGAATGGTGAAGGGTATTTCGTCAAACTTTCACCTTGTTACTAGAAGTTATTGAGGACCCCTTCAGTACTTTAGTACTTTTTGGTTCCACACCATTTCCTCTTGGAAGAATAGCTCTGTCCAAATGTCCCCTCATTGACTTTGTCGGTGTAGTCGTTGCAGCATTTCAGAATATCTTGACACCTTACAAACAATGGGCCTTTTTCTGTTGATAAATGCCATTGATGAACATTTAAGAAGTTTGTGTCACACACCTAAGAATTGCGATGGAAATTGCGCAGTATGCGCAAGTTAACTTATTTAGGTCTGTGAACCTTTCTAACTTTTTTTTTTTTTGTTTGATTTCCTTTTGTGTTTTATTTTGCACTTTGGAGTAAAGGTAAAAACAGGAAATAAATCTGCTTTAGGTTAAAGGGACTCTATTGGCATCCTAATCAACATCTCAGAGAAGTGGCTGGGGTGTCATGTCTGTCATATTAAGCCTGAAACTAAAAGCATTGTTGTTATGTAGGTTTAAACTTGGTTTTCGCTCAGATGACTTGCATTTAGAGAATTTGATTGGCAAAGCGTAGCATTTTGCCATGCATGTGCTCTAGGTTTGGCTGAGATCAACAACATTGATCTCTGCCAAAGAGTTAGAGCAGCTGATAAGAAGAACAGATTGCAGGATATATGGTAAATACATTTTTATCTTTTTTATTTTTTATTTTATTTATTTATGTATTTTTTTTAAACCCCTGCAAGGGAGTAGACACCTAAATAGGTAGGAGAGAGCTATAGTATTGGAATACAAACGCTATATTGTTCCTTTACGACCAGTGCCACCTAGAAACAGATTATTTTTAAGCATTGTTACATAATGAGTGACCATAAAACAATCACTATGTTCTGGGAGAGGTGTTTTATTGCCTGTGAAGTAAAGCAGGTTAGTAATATGTTTGGATAAGTGAGGTTAAAGGCTAATTTTCTTTATCTACCTGTCTTTCTCCATGACTATTTTTCCATCCAGCTTCTCTTCCAGTTGTTTATTTTTTGTTGTTTTTTTGTTTCATAAGCCATGTTGCCCTTTGCTCTTTACTTGTAATTCCGTTTGAGTTGTTAGTATTCATAAAAACTAATTTGGACATTTGGTTGAGGAATATGTAGTGATATCTTAAAGTGGCACCAAGGTAGTTGAATTTAAAGGGATAATAAACACCAAAACTATAAAATCTTAGTGATTTTGGTCCAAAGACTCTCTTCCTGCTTTCTCACTATGTAAAACATTGCCGTTTTAGAGAAAGGGCAATGTTAATATTTTGAAGACCAACCAATAGAGGTGTTTGCTTATTGCACACCTTTGAGTTGTGAAGTCCTCATCTTCACTGCCATCGTCGCTTTATTCAATTCCTTTTTATATGCTGTAGTTCCTCAATGCTTCTCTCTGGAGAAAAGCATTGGGTTGGACTTGGATAATGTATATTGGTGTCTTAAGAAGCAGAGAAGCTACAGTGGGGAATATGGCTAGCCCTGAATTTAAATCCATAAAAAAGTATGCACATAACTTTACAGAATCGAAAATAGATTATAAAAGAAAAAATACATGAATAAATGGACTGTCCTTTTATACATGGTAGAGTCAGTTAATATGATTACGTATCTCTTCTTAAAAGTAGACATTGATCAAAGGCACAGACACCAGAAGAACTTCATCTAAAAAAGTTGTGTGAATATAGTCTTCTTGGCTGCGAGCGTCAGCTGACTACTTTCAGCCAATCAGTGGCACCCCTGCCCAGCGTCCTGTACATGAAAATTCTGACGCTGGATGCCTCCTGGGAGGGGATGGAGACTAGCGCTGTATGCAATTTAGGGATTGAACGGTTTAACCCTTTGAGGTAAGAGTGCTTCCAGAGGCCTTCTGGCACCATAACAACTTCATTTAGATGTTTTTTTTGTGCCTGATGTGTCTCTTTAAGAGAATGCTAGAAGCCATGAAATACTAGCCCTGTAATCCTTCTATGTACAAATTGTTGCATACGTGGATTGAGATTTAACATCTCCTACTTTACCACCATGATTTATGTTTGGAATGGACATCTGGCTTAGAGTAGAATATGAAAATCACATTTACACATGTTTAAACATGAGATTATGGTGTTAGAGAAATGGTTACTTTTCGCAAAGCCTACGTTTACACCTTTATAAACTGAAATAGTAGCGTGAACAGATTAATATACCTAGGCTATGTCTTTCTAATCCATTTTATTCTTACCTGTCAGTGTTTGTCATATGATTTGCATGACTATTCTTGCCTATTTTGGTAAACATAATATGCCTTTGAATTATACATTGTGCTAGCCTAACTGTATATTGAAATGAATAGATTTTTTTTTTTTTCCAAAAATTATTTAGACTGCTAAAATGTTTCAATCTATTAGTGGGTTCTCTCTGTCTCTCTGTCTCTCTGTCTCTCTGTCTCTCTGTCTCTCTGTCTCTCTGTCTCTCTGTCTCTCTCTCTCATTTATTTCCAAATGTTCATATTTCTACCAATTTTTTTTTTTTTTTTTTTTTTACTAGACACATTGACCAATAGCTAGTTTATAACATGTACACTATCACATTAAATGAACATCTCAAGAATAATGCTTTTGGACAGTTTTTTTTTTTATTTCTTTTTTTTCTTTTTTCAAGCAGTCAACAGGTCCTGTTCCTAGTAACTTAGTTCAGTGGAGCTATACTCAAAAGGAAGCATTTGGAAGTCTGTGATTGGACAGCCACAAAGTCTGGGCACGGTTCAAAGGGAAGGGCTTTCAAAGGCCACAGACAAAAGAACTTCAACTTATACAAGCTCATTATAGATATACCCACTGTAGGAAAAAATACATACATACATACATACATACATACATACATACATACATATGTTTTCATTGGGACTATATCTATTAAATATAGTGATTTAAAAAAAAAAAATGTTATACTATATTTTGTAGATTTACAATTTTATATTCTCTACTTTTATGTAGAAATGATAGAGGGCGCGTATGTAATTTGTAGTATAAGTTTTGGATTAATGAACAGATGCCCAAGAAATTTTTATGAAAAGACAGAACAACTCTATTAGTAAAAGATTTAAAGACAACTATCATCAAGCTTTCACTTTTTTTTTTTCTTTTTCACCTTGTCTGAGCAGCCATGTTTGGTAAAACTCTGTTACCTTGGCCTGCTGCTCAACTTAAAGGGACACTACAGTGCCAGGAAAACAAACCGTTTTCCTAGCACTGCAGGTACCCTCTCCTTCCCACCACCCATCCCATGTTGCTGAAGGGGTTTCAGTGACTTACGTGAGACCCCCCGCTGGTGGTGGTTTCGGGTCCGCCCACACTCCTCCCCGCCGATTGCGCGGCCGCCGGCGGGGGAGACTGCATGCGCGGCAGTGCCGCGCGCATTAGACCTCTCCATAGGAAATCATTAAAAATACCTTGCTTTCCTATGGGAAATTGAGCGACGCTGGAGGTCCTCACACAGTGTGAGGACATCGAGCGACGCTCTAGCACAGAAAACCTGTGCTAGAAACCAGGAAATGCCCTCTAGTGGCTGTCTAGTAGACAGTCACTAGAGGAGGAGTTAACCCTGCAGCTGGAAGTATTGCAGTTTTCATAAACTGCCATAATTACATTGCAGAGTTAAGGGTAGTGGGAGTTGGCACCCAGACCACTCCAATGGGCAGAAGTGGTCTGGGTGCCTGGAGTGTCCCTTTAACTCCCCTGCTGCTGCAGTTTCACACAGAACACTCACAGCATCAGGCCATAGTTTCTCAAGATAATTGAATTACTTTACTGAGAGATCTATTTCCAGCAAGTGATAACAGCAACCTAACAGAACCTTTGGTGTTGAGTTCACTCACAGAATTAGATGTAGCTTAAAATCCACTGCTGTAAACAGGGAATGAGCTATGGTTAGCCTTTCAGGAGTGTTCTGCAAAGTTATTGCAGCCTAGGTGTAGATCCAGCAATTCACGATACAGAAGCCATAAAAAAAATGTCTGAATAATGTTAATATATTCCTTGACACCAGCACAGTTCTATTCCCTCCTTTCTTGTAGTTCTCTTACATTTAGAAATTAAAGGAGCACTCAAGCAACATAACCACTCCACCCTCCACCCACAGAGTACAGAGTGAGACCATTTAGCAACAGTTTGACTTCTTATCTGGTTTCCACATCGCACCTTCTCTCTGCCGGAAGCTCCCGATTCAAAGCTTCTGTTGGGTTTTCTTTAGCTAAGCAAAGTGGTCGATAGCTTCCAGCAGAGTGTTGAGCGGCAACTGACAGACCTCTGGTATGTAGTCAGATTGTCACTGCTTACATTCACCATAAATGCTACACCACGCTCTAGTAGTTCTGACGCATTGAAAAGTATAATTACGTGTTTTTAAAAACTGTGGTAAATAAGGTTTGCCCTACTTTTATAATCACATGTTTTGGTGCATTAGCTTAATTAAAGCCCAGAATCTGTGTGGTGCTTGGTAGATTTCCATTTCAACCTGTTATTCAATGAAAAATATAATGGTAACAAAAGTTTTTGTGAAACATAGCTTTTACTCAAGGTTAACTTGTCACATAAAGCACACAATAGCATTTGTCTGTCTTAGCACAGTGCGACTTGATGCTATAATTGTCATGCTGAGTAGGTTAGCTAATAGACATTTAAATTACATTTTACTATTTCTTTTAGGTGTATCATTTCAATTCGGACAGCTATAAGACACAAAACCAGCACTATGGAAGAAGCTTAACTAAAGAAACTATAAAGGATGGTGAGTGACCTTAATGTTTGCAATCTCCACTAATGTCTCTTGCTCTCTCCTAAAGGGCAGCACTTTACTTTCTCCTCCACCTCTGCTTCACTCCCACCTTATTTGATTGCTATTTCCTGTTCTAATGTGTTTTATACCCCACCTCCTATAGACTGTAAGCTCATTTGAGCAGGGTCCTCTTCAACCTATCGTTCCTGTAAGTTTTCTTGTAATTGTCCTATTTATCGTTAAATCCCCCGTCTCATGATATTGGAAAGCGCTACGGAATCTGTTGGCGCTATATAAATAGCAATAATAATAATGTCTGTTTCAGTTGCTAAAGAGTAAGAGTAGTTAATCATTTCCAGTGTTCCACAATAGGTATGTGTTTGCAGATCTAAGCGTTAAGATATCTTAAATTGTCTTAAGTCCAAGATAACTGGGGAAAGTAATACCAGTTTTGGAGTAAATGTTTATGGCAGGTGTTTGTAACCCATGCTAAATGCATGTGCCAAATAGTTTTGAAATTTATCTGCATTTGATTTTTATCAAGTTGGCATGCCTGATTACTGTTGTATAACATGGAGCTGACAGCTCCATAAAATATTAACTCATTAAAATGGGTTATTCTAGTTCCCTAAAGCAGCAGTAGTGAGTACTTTTGGTTTCAATCACGGTGAATGACTTATTAAGGGATTATTGCAGATCGTGATTACCTCATTACATGCTTTCATATGAAACTCTTATCCATTTTAATATGATATGATGGAATTGTTTATGCCCTTTTCACTTTACAGGTGTGTCCAAATTCTTTTATAATGGGACTTCACTGAGAAAAGATGTAGTAGCCAACTGCATTCAACAAGTTCAGAGCATTCTAGCATGGTTTGAAAACCAAGAGAGTCTTAATTTTTATGCAAGTTCGTTACTATTTGTCTATGAGGGTTTACCTTCACAAATCACTAAAAGACTTATTGATGGAAGTATGGTGGACAAAAGAGTTGTCCAGAGAGGAATTTTGACCGATGGTGAGTTGGCAGAATGCAACAACAACATACATGTATTAAGCGCTACAGAAAATGGCAAGCCTGAAGATTCTTTAGAAAAGAACCTGTCTAGGAGATATGGAAATCAGAAGAAGGCTTGTTCCAAGCGTCATCACAGTCAGGTCTCTAGGGAAGTGGAAAGCTCGGATCGAGACAATACGAGGAAAAGTCGAAACAATATCTCACAAGAACATGTGAATGGAAACCTTATTCCCAAACTGGAAAATGTATTTTGCCATGTTCCTGCAGATCTGAATCCATGCAGCCAGGTAGATGTACGGATGATTGATTTTGCGCATGTTTTTCCAAGTAATGGCAAAGACATAGGCTACATCTATGGACTCAAGAATTTGATTGCTGTGCTGCAAAGTATCTTAACTGACTGAAGATCTCCTGTAATTTAAATGGGGGCCAATGACACGATAATCAAGAACAGCATACCTTCAAGAATACTTGCACTTGTATTTGTTGTTAACTGGATATTTTTATTGTGATTCTATATCTTAACCTGATTTTGTTTTTTCATCTTGGTGGAGTGGTCTAGCTTTTATAATATTACTCAGGAAAATTAAAGTGGTATGTAAGCATCAGAAAAAAAAGCTTTTAATATGAGCATAATCGAGTGGATGGTGTTTCCTTTAACAGTAGAATGAAGTGGTTATCATGGTGCTAATGTTGAGGGACCCACTTCTGATGACCTTTAGATTAAACTAACATGATTTATGGGACCATACTCTTTAAGGCAACTTTTGTTATTTGCCTTCAATTGTTTTATTTCCATCATAAGAAAAATTGTGCCTTCATAAATATTTCTGTGAGATTTTCTAATCTTCTCGCAGACAATATGTAATGGAGGTGCCACCTCAGTTGGAGCTTACCAAGAACTTTAAAGATTTATTTGTGTATAATGTAAAACTAAATAGTTTGGATACTGAGCCACATAGATATGTAAAATATTTTGATTGTTGCTATTGAGCTTGCTGTTTACAACCTTCCTAAACAACTGGAAAGAGAGCCAATTTAAGGATGTATAAGTTTACACCTTTTCATTTTTGAGAGTATCATTGCAAACTTTAACCGTATTTAAAAAAAATAATAAAAAATAAATATAAGTCCACAATTGGAAGGGGAGGAAAGGAATGTGGGTTGGGCATTAGGAACAAAACTGCTCATTCTAAATAGTCTTACTGGATTTTTACTAAGCCAACTTGCTTGACCCAGTATTTAACAAAATTGAAGAAAGAATGACTACACACGTTAAAAACTTGTATGGTAAATACATAGTCATGTCAGACTAAAGTCGCACATATTTCTCCATATGTTTCTGAAGATCGCTAACCATTTTTTGGTTTTCAATTACCTTTTTAATCTTTTCGTCCTATGACTATGCTGATGTCCATCTTAAACCACAAGTCAAAGTTTCATGGTTTCAAATCCCTTCTGCAGTGTAAAAGTTAAAATTGAAGAAAACAAATGCCTTTCCTTAATGTGCAATTAGGAAAGCCGTTTCATTATAGATTTTTGGCTTTAAAATGTATAGACAAAATGCATTTTCCATGACTGATTACCCCCTTTTTCCTTTCTTTACTAAAATCTATTTTGTGTGCAGTTATGTCATGTAATTTGTGTAATGATCTAATGTTCGTATTAATAGCACCATGATTAATCCTAGAAATGCAAAACATTTGAAGAGACACTTTAGGGACCATAACTACTTATTATAATTGAAGTGGTTCTGGTACCTGAAATCCTCTGGCACCATGTCACTATTCGCTGTTAAACCGATTTCAAACCATTCATTACAAAATAAAGGGTCCTTGGGCACCTATGTAACACTGCAATATGTGCAATGGGTGATAGACTAAGAGAGCTCAGGTAACCGTTTCAACCTGTCACAGTAGCCTGTTGATGTTTGGGATAATTTGGACGCAGACTGGGACAATAATTGCATGGCATCCGGGAGCATTATTCAGTCTCAAACAACTTTGAAACTATTTCTCGTTGAATAGTGGCACTACTCTTGGGACTCCAGGCACCATAATGACTTCAATGAGATAAAGTAGTTATGGTACCTAGAGTGTTTGTTTTGGCTAATGGTTTGATTAAGCCTGGTGATTGTATATTTTATTTTATTTTTTAAAATTTGAATTAACATGTATGAAGAATGGATTCCTTGTTCTCTGTTAAACTAACTTTCTTTAACTGTTTTTTTTTTTTTTTAGCTTTTTCATAGTAACAAGCTTAGAATCGACAGTCTATTTCTTAAAATTAGTGTGCTTTTTGGCAAATATTGATTTGATGATTTTTTTTTTTTCTTTTTTGTACGTGATTTTGGACAGCCATCAAAAACCTGAGATATCATGAAACTGTTTGCAGTAATCCTTTAACAGCATTCAAAAATCCTTCCAAGTTCCAGGGGTTTGTTTTCCATGTCCTAAACCTCTATTCTTATTTTTGAAAGATTGTTGTGTCTCTAGATGGATTTCTGGTTAAAGCTGGCTGTTTTCTGAGGTTTAGCACTTCTGGATCAAAATGTATTGAATTTTTCAACATTTGCTATAGTGTTTAGAATTGGCATGCATATTTTCTATATTTGCCTTCCTAGAATTAAATTATTTTTATATTTTTTTTTATTTTATTATATTATATTATAAAGTGTGCACTACTCCTAAGAGTCCATATATTTCCTTGGTGTTATATGCAGCGGGTGATATAATTAAATAAGGTATATTTTTTCCAGAAACACTGTTTTTTTGTTTTATGAAAAACAGACCATTTTAGATATCCTCCCCTTTATTCCCAGCCAACACCTCTTGTGGTACCCAATCACACATTTCCTAATGCCACTCATTAAGACTTTTTTGCAAGGCAGTTACTCTGGGCAATTACTCGCTTCTTGAGCTTGGCTTCACAAAGGTAAAATACCAGGAAGTAACAGGACTTTTTCTCCCTAGAAAGCATGCCTTTTCCTTCCATCAAACTGGAACTTTGCATGTCCCATTTGTTTTTTGTTTCTCATCCTCCCCAATAAGTCTATATCGGACAGGGTCGTTACTTGTGCATTTCATTATCTGTAACTGTGATTTGAATTGTAACTCTTTTTACGCAAGTTACAGTAACCTATTAATACAAACGTGTTTTTTTTTTTTTTATTGGGGGGAGGAGAGGGGTGAATAATATTTGTGGCCTGCTGCCTGAAACGGTAACAAGTAAATTGGGGAAAAAAAACCTTAGACATGTATACATATTTGACCTCTTCCCCCCTCTCCCCTCCCCCCCTTCTCACTGGCTACGATAAACTCCCTATTTTGTCGGTTTGGCTAATTTGTCAAACTAAAGCTTTCATAGACTGGGTCCTGGCACCATAACAACTGCAGTAAGCTTGAAGTCATAATGGTGCCTAGAGTGACCCTTTAAAAGGACCACATACCATAGGTTGTTAAAGACCCAATAAGTCATGAATTTGAATATTTCAAGCTGAAACTTGTGAAAATTGGAAGACTCTTCATAGAAGAGATAACACAGCAATTAAAGTAATGGATGTTAGAAGCTGACTATCATAAATTTTTCAGTTTTCGAACTTTGAATCGTATTCCACAGTGGACCGTGGGAGTGTCAACACAGATATAGTGACTTTACCAGCATTAGCGCTACACATACTTACTATATAAAATTATTCTACTCTTAAAGACTTCTGTATAATTTGAGTCCCAAAAACTTTTTGCCAACTTAAAATGTCACCATATTTTAAACCTCTATAACTCAGCTTTGAGTATGTATCATAACAGAAATATTGAGACTATTTATTTTTAAAACTTTTTTTACTTAACGGTTTAGAATTTTTATCAACTGAAATATAAGGTTTTACTGCTGATTCTGGATTGTTTTATAGGCCATTATATCCCAAACAGGTCCATAAGAACATCTATCAATCCACAATGTTGGGATTTAAAATTCTGTTCCAATGGGCGGTATTGACAAAGCTTTGAATATGTGAAGTCCTTTTTTTTTCTTTTTGTCCATTACACAATTTTTTTGGGGTATCATTAAAAATAGTCTGCTAGTAAGTCAATTGAAAGAGCACTTGTGAAGTCAGCTGTATGAAGAGTATCTGTTGCATTGAAATAAACTTATTTTGAGCATGGATATTTTCATCTAGTGTAATTACATTTTAAATGTATATCTTTGACTAAGCTGGCAAATTATTTTTTTAAGAGTTACTAATGGTTTTCCACCACTGATATGATCTAGATGTTGTAGATGGTTGTTTGTGTTTCTTGTTTAAAACACCAGACTGCACAAACCTATTTTTCCTAAGAGTACAAATAGTCTTCTGGTATTCTGCATTTAGAATGAAAATGGTAATCTAGAGCTTTATATGGCATGATGTATGGGACATACATTTGCAGCATTAATTTGGTTATGCCATATCCCCTCATCCCCTCCATTTTCCTAATGATTATGATAATATTGGAGTGCCTTTTTAGCCCATTAAGTACCAAAAAGTCAAGCTACTATTAATCCAAATAATATGATCTATTGCCAGGTCAAAGTAGTTGATACACTTACAAAACTGTGTAAACATGCAATCACATTTTCTCTGAGTATTGGGTAAATGAACAAGTGATCGGTGTCAGATTCCTAGTTTTTAAGTAAAACATGCCCAAAATAAATTTTTAAGCAGAGCAAGATGTGATTTATTTGTAGAATTGTAGACTTTTTTTGAAATTAATTTTTTTGTTTGTATGGCCGTGTATCTGAGAAAAGACCACAAAAGACTTCTCCAACAGCAATGTTTTGCGTTCCTTAATATTTTGAAATGTAAAAATATATATATTTTTTTTATAATCAAAAACTTGAAGATGCCCTTTATCACCCATCATTAATGGCATGCGTTCACCTTAACATCTTGGGTTGTTCTCACAAGACCATTTTAGATTTGACGAGATCAATACATTTCACACTAGGTCAACTAATGGGGCCCTCACTTTGGAATTCATAAAAAAAGTTTAAAAAAAACCCAAATTTTTATATATATATATATATATATATTTTTTTTTTTTTTCTTTTTTTTTGATATTTCATTATTATATTTCCAAAAAATTTCACAATATTTTAATTTTTTTTTTCTTTAACATATAAGATATTGTCTGCCACTATTGTGTACACAGTTTGAGTCTTGAGTTGGATGTGCAAGATATTGGCTGAGGCGACTGGTAGCAGTCTTTTTGCTTTTTTTAACAGACCTCCTTTTAAGAGTGACTTTAGACATAACCCTGCTTCTACAATTATGTGTATATTTGAATTGATATATTTGTGATGACAGTTTACCTCTAATTTGGTGTGATATGAGACCAAAATGGCTGCTTCCAGCAAAATTATTTTGTGTACTTTTATTTGTGTACTTTAATTCAAATGTGTTTTGTTTTCATTCTTGTGACAAATATTTTGTTATATGCCTTATCTACATTCACGTTTCAAGATTAATTTATAATTATTTTGGTGTTCAATGCTATTATGAGAGAGGGTGGTTTTCAAAAATTAAAAATTTGTTTCAGTTGATACTTCTAATGCTTTCCGATTTGGGTTCTATAAACTCTGTGAACTGACTGTTTTATTATTTTAGCTGCATAGAATTTCTAAGGAAAAGTAAAGATTTGTATGCTTGCAACCGAATAATGAAATTGTGTGCACACAGGCACTTTAATTCTCTGGGATATGTACTGGAAGTTGTATGAAATATTTGGAAAATGCATTGAAACTTTTATCCTAACTGTTCATAAAACTACAGTACTAAAATCTGTTCTACTTAATAAAAGAATGTATGTTGAGTAGTACAATGTAATTTTGATGTTTAATAATTTTGTGATGTTTTAATTTTGGGTAATCTTTACCACTACATGTAAGTATACATTAAAATATATATATATACACCTAGTGACCATTTATTTTTCAAAAGAATCTAATACGTTATTAACTTTTGTAAATGTAAGTGATATTTAGGTAGCTATAATACCTGTATATTTGACATACCTGAATTGCTATTAAAAGTGTTGTTATTTTTATTTTTTTCCTCTCTAATTCTTGATTTTCTGTGTGGATTATTTAATCCTTGTGATAACATGTTACTCAAAACTTTTTTTTTTTTTTTAATATGGTTCTATAGGTGATTGATAATTCAAAGGTTCACTGATGTGATTTCATCATTTTAATTTAAAGCATGTAAAAAAACAAAACACAAATCCAAACATTTTTACTTGTACACTATCGGAGGATGAGGCTTCATGGGAACGCAACTGAGGCAATAGAACATACAATTTTTTAAAAGGACACTGTAGGCACTCAGACCACGCTTTTGCGCTTTACGCTTTTGCACTTAGTGCTGCAATGTAAAACATTGCAATTCCAGAGAACTGCAATGTTTACATTGCAGCTCTGTCTGTTCTGTGACTATCTACCAGACCGTAACTCGAGGCTTCCGGAATCCAAACTAACTTTTGTTACGTTATGACACTGGATGTCCTCATGGACCCCCAGCGTCGGATTTTCCCCATAGGAAAGCATTGAATAATTGCATGCGTATTAGGTCTCCGTCTACGGGGGAGGAGCATGGGCAGAGCCTGGCTTCAGGTAAGTGGCTGAAGGGGGGCCCAGAGGGAGGGGACACACACACCTACTAACCCTATAGTCCCAAGAAAACTGTTTTCCTGTCACTATAGGATCTTTTTAAACGTTTACAGTGCAAATAGGGGGATTTTGTCACACCCTATGGGACACCCTATTGGACACAAAGCAGCAAGGATTGCAGTAAGCAAGTTTAAAGGGACACTGCACTGCCCAAATAACACGGTTTATCATTGGGGGAATAAAATCAACTTTTAAAAGTTGATGTCTTGTGTATTGCATTTACAAGCCCTCAATTTCTAACACAGCACAAACTTTCTGTCGCTGTCCAATTGCCTGCCTATTTAGCTTCACTGAGCTAAACAAACCAGGAAGTAACCAGACTAGTTGTCTGCTTGAATGCCAGGGGCTGTAACCAGGTTCATTAACAAAAGTGCCAATTTCTACAGAAATCTGCACAATTTATAAAATGAAAAAAGAGGACATGCTCTTCAGCAAGATAAAATGCTTGAGTTTCAGTGACTCATAATTTAGGGTATATTCACTTTCACAGATGTAGTAAATTGCAAAGACAAAACATACCCAGGACATACATAATGCAACCACAATAACAAATATTGGATGAATAGGATGCACTAGAGAGCTTCCAACTGTCTGCGAGGCATTGATTGGCCTCTGCTGGACCCCAGGTATGAAGTCAAAGCGTGACTACATACATGGGGGAGAAGCCAGGGCACTCGTCATACCATATGCTATGTAATATGCACCACGATCCAGTAAAAGATCATTTTGAATTCTGCAATACCTTTTAGCTGCACATTTCATTAGTATAAAACGTGACAACGAACTGGCCTAAACACATTACTACCACAGTAAATCTGTTCTTTTCCTTGGGAAAGCCCACATCTTGTGTAACAGTCTGCAAGAACTAAAGCCACGTTTGTTCTGTATGTTTCAGGGCACACGCCAAGACCATGCCTCAATGAAAAGTACCCTAAGCAGTACTTAACGTCTGTTCAAATTTGTTTTGTCATAACTGTCTAACCATCCATCCCCACACTTAATAGTTCCTAATCTCTGTGTTAAAACCATGAGTAAACCCTGTTTTACTTTCCTTACCAACAGACATATTGAAAAGTAATAGATCCTATTATTCTCAGTGGAATCTTTGGTAACCTTTACTGCTTTTTGCCACCTTAGGTTAAACCTTTCACACAACACAATACATTTTTTTACTTTTCTGGGATACTACATGACATCTTGACCTTATACTCTTCATGTCATCAAATCAAATTAAAGATATTTAGGAAACTAGTCAACTTCAAACACCAAAGCGACTCCCTGTAAATATTATTTGGATAATTACCTGATATACTTGACCTTTCTCTGAAGCTGTCCTTCATTTTCCCCAGAACCAGTGAGCTGGGAGGGGGCTGCATTTTTAGCCAGTGTTGTGCTATGGTCCTCCTGGCTGCCAGTGTTATTTTATTGATTAGTTTTAGGTCGTGTTTGGGCCAGTTATCTATCGGCCTGCCTAGGAGAAATGTCTATGGGTCTAGGGCAGGAGCCCTCCGGAAGACCTGGGCCAGTATGCTTCTTACCTCCTCCCAGAACTTTTGTATGGTGGGGCACTCCCACCACATGTGGATATAAGTCCCTCTAAGGCCACAGTTTCTCCAGCATAAATCCATGGGCAGCTTTCGCATGCGTTGCAGTTGTATTGGGGTGGTGTACCATCTAAAGAGGGTCTTATAGGACTGTTCCTGCATAGAAACGCATATGGAAGATGTGGCTGTCGCCTCCCAGATCTCCTGCCACTCCACCCCCTCTAGTATCTCACCCAGGTCCCGTTCCGAATGATCAGTGTATGTCAGGTTACCCCATTCTTTGGTTTCTGCGCATATGTGCGCATACAGCAGTGTGATAAGGCCTCTAGGAGATTGCTCTCTGAGACATATGTTTTCATAGAAGGTGGGGGCGGTGAGTGCAGCCTTGTGAACTAGCGGTTGCCTAGCGTAATCCGCAATCTGGAGATATCTGAAAAAATCGGCTGGGGTTAGATGTTGTTCCCGCCTCATGGTGTCAAAGGGGATGACGGATCCGTTTACATATAGTTGGCAAGCTCTCTGCAGGCCCGTCCGTTCAATGTTACGGAACGTTCGAGCCACCAGACCGGGCGGGAAGGCCCTATTTCTGAGATATGGCATAAGGGGAGAGGGGGAAGAGGCCAGTCGATATTTCTGGGATACCCTGTCCCAAATGTGGATGGAATTGGTGATAGCAGGGCAGTCTGTACGTAGCATGGGTCTAAGGTCTTTGGGCACCCAGATAAGGTATTGAGGGAGATCTGCTCCCGTGAGCAGAGATTCCAGTTCTACCCACTTTCTCGTATCTATTGGGGAGTGCCACATCGCTATCTGAGCCAGCTGAGCAGCCAAGTAATATTTATGTAAGTTAGGCAAGCCTAATCCTCCCAGACGATTCGGGCGGTATAGTATGTGTCTCGACACTCGGTGCCTAAAATTGCCGATGGCTTTTTGTAGGTGGGCCAGGTCTGCTTTTGTCAGTGGGAGGGGGAAGGGCCTGAAAGAGGAAAAGGATCCTGGGGAGAACATTCCTCTTAATGGAATGGATCCGACCCATCCTGGATATGGGCTTGTCGACCCAATTCTCTATGTCTCTAATAAGGGTGGTGATAGGGGGGGGGGTAGTTATAGTCGTGCATCTTGGACGGGTCCGCAGTCAATTGGACTCCCAAATATGGAATGGAATGTGTAGCTACATGGATGCCGTGGTCCCTTTGTATGTGCGTTATTACGTCTCTTTGTATGTGCGTTATTAGGTAGGGCGCTCGACTTGGACATGTTGGGCTTGTAGCCCAAGAGCGGGCTAAATCATGAGCGGATATCCTGCACCGCCCTCATTGAGACGACCGGTGACGTAAGGGACAGGAGGACGTCGTCGGCATATGCGGAGACCAGGAACACCCTTCCCTGTACTGTTACTCCCTGGATGTCCGGGTGTGTGCGCAGTGCCTGTAGGAGTGGTTCTAGTACCAGGGCAAATAGAAGGGGAGAGAGTGGGCACCCCTGTCTCGTACCGTTGGACAGTGGGAACGGGCATGGGTGGGTCCCGGGGATGATTACCTGTGCCGTGACCCCATGATATAGTGCACGAATAGTCGTAATATATGGGTCTGGGAGTCCAAGGTGCTCGAGGAGTGTAAACATATACGACCAGTTCACCCTATCAAAAGCTTTTTCAGCATCGAGTGATACCATGAGGGTGGGGGTTTTATTTTTGTGCTGTCGCCATATGATGTCATAATTCTTGCGCATGTTTTCGAATAGTTGCCTCCCAGGTATAAAACCTACCTGGTCGGCATCCACAAGTTTGCAGAGGAAAGGGTTAAGTCTTTCTGCCAGTATTTTGGCAAGTAGCTTCGCGTCATGGTTAATATATATATATTTTAAATACATTTTTTTAAAGTTGTTTTGACTTAGTCTTCACATGGCCTTGTTTTGTGCAGAGGGAATAAAGTATGGAAACTTAAGAAGGATGTGGAACAAAATATGTGGACTGGCTGATAATGCCAGCTTTATCTTATTTCATTATGTAGAGATTTGAAAGCAAAAATTGGAATTTTAAATTGAGCCCTATATCTTACAGGAAGCCAAGGTAGGGACTGACAGAAGTGGGAGGTGCGGGCGGACAGGAAGATGAGCCTCGCTGCCGCATTGATTATGGACTGTAAAGGCGCAAGTTGGGAGAACGAAAGACCACTGAGAAGCGGATTACAGTAGTCAAGGCGAGAAAGTACATTGGAATGGACCAGCACCTTACTCGCATCTGGTGTTAAGTAGGCGCGCAATGTTTTTGAGATGGAAGCGACAGGATTTGGTGACAGACTGAACATGAGGCTTGAAAGAGAGGTCAAGTCAAAGAGAACACCTAGGCAGCGAGCCTGCGTGGTGGAGCTGATGGTAGCACTGTTGACTTGGAGGGAGACAGACACAGGAGTAACAACACTTGAGGGAGGAAAGACCAGAATTTCAGCTTTGGTTTAAGGAAATAGGCAGCCATCCAGTTAGAAATAGCAGAGAGGCAGTCAGAGACACTAGTTAAAAGGGATGGGGAGAGATCAGGAGAGGACAGGTAGATTTGCGTGTCATCTGCATAGAAATGATATTGGAAGCCAAAGGAGCTAATGAGTTTACCAAGGGAGGCAGTAGAGATGGAGAACAGTAGGGGACCAAGGCCTGAACCTTGGGGGACACCAACAGAGAGGAGTTAGGGAGAAGAAGCAGAGCCAGAGAAAGAAACACTGAAAGAGCGCTGGGAGAGGTAGGAGGAGCACCAGGAGAGAGCAATATCGTGTAGACTGATATTGCGGAGGAAGAGAAGAAGCTGTTGATGATCAACAGTGTCAAAAGCCACAGATAGGTAAAGGAGAATTAGGATAGAGTAGTGACCATGAGATTTTGCAGCGAGTAGATCATTAGATACTTTGGTCAGTACCGTTTCCACAGAGTGCTTAGCGCGGAAACCAGACTGAAGCGGGTCTAGCAGAGAGTTGGACTCGAGGAAGTCTGGTAATCTTGCACTGCTCTTGCAGTTTCAGTCTCTATAACAGTGTGGCATGTCCCCTTTCTTCTACACTCACTCACTAAATCAATCTTGTCACAGACTGAATAACATGGAGTTTCTGCCTGATATTAAGTAGGTAAGGAGAGGAATAAACAAGTGAGTGCTAGAGGACAGTCCCCAGAAAGCATAGAGCAAACGCATCATTAGACACATTTGTGCCAGGGTCAGGGCGCCATCTGCGTAGTACGCCATTAGTTGGCTGGCCTGCATAATTAGCAGGCAGTCTGACAAGGATTCACGCCATGCAGCAAATCCTTTCTGGGCTGTTACATGATTCAAGTCTGTGGCCCATCCTTTTACCCCACCCAACAATGTCCTGCTTCACCAGAAGCTGCTGTTAGGTTGTATGGATGTGCTTGACAGGTGGAAAAGAGTGTACTTTCTTATAGCTTATTTATGCGTGAGTGGTAGAACTGCTTTAGTGTTTTCTTTCCATAAGCTTCTGTAATTAGGCCCATCGCAATTGTCAGTGTATGGCCCAATGGGCTTTTAATATGGCCCTGAACTAAATGTAGGGATGAGATTTTCTCATTTTATACATATGCTTCATTTAAAAAAAAAAAAATAATATAAATATATATGTTTCTTTTCAATACTTGATGAAAGCAGTTACATTAAAATAGTTTTGAAGTGACAGTTATCTTTCAATCTCAGGGCTCTAAATGTAGTAAGCGAGCCTATCATAGCCATATGATTTCTATTAATCACAGTCACATGAAGGAAGAATGGGAAAACATCCACTCGTATTAGAAAAGTTGTATTCTCAATTTGCTTCTAGAACAGGTGTTCCAATAACCGGTCTTGTACATCAGGTTTGGAACAAAGGTAATAATAATAATAAAAGGCTGCAGGATATAATTGGTATTAATTTGAATCTCTCGGCCAAAATCTGACCTCAATTACTATTAGTTATATCTTCCACACACCATACCAAGACCACAGATAGGATTACGTGAGAGAAAAGAAAAAAGTTTAACTATTACTCTTTTGAATTTGACCCAAGTGTGTTTTATAAAGAGATAGTGTGTGTGTGTGTGTGTGTGTATGGGAGAGTTTGAAAAAAAGGTGTGTGAAGACTTTGGAGAGTGTATTGTGTGGATATTGAATGCAATAGACATCCACAAAGGAAGTAAGAGAGATCAAAGTTAGCATTCCTTTACAAATCTGTACTATAAACTGGTTGTAAATTTTTTTATTTCCATGTAGATACAAACTTTGTAACCCCTTGGGCTACATTTACAGATGTATTGGCATAGGTTATGGTAAGTGTTCTTAGCTTTCATATAAATAGTTTTAAGGACCATTTGCAGGCTTTGTTAAAATGCAATGGGGGGTTTTAAACTTTGCTCCACACTGAGAATCTAAGAAGCTGCTCTTTCTTCTCTCCGTGTGTTGGGTAACCCAGGAACTATTGACCAACTAACTATCTCTAGTTCTCCTATTTTAGGCAGGAGGAGCAATCCTCAAATAGATAAAAAATACAGAACTGAATACAAAAAGCAGACATGACTAGTTGTGTTAGGAGCATGCATGTCTAGAAATGAAATTGAATGAGGGAATACAACTGTAAATGTGTATAGTAATTGTTTTAAGTATACACTTTCCCTGTTCCAACTCTTAAAACAATAATCGTGTTAGTTACTGTTATCCCAAGTATGACCTGCCTCTCCATGAAGACAGCAATCATTGGTGGGCTTTGCCATTGAGACAAAAATGACAGGTCTTCTCCCAAGGACATGACAACTGTCTCTTCTGGATAATCTTGACCACCTGTAGGGATTGGGAAGGGTGATATATATCATATGTGCTGGATGGGAGCACCACAAGGGCAAATTTCCTTTTATTAGTCCTACACACTAAGACTAGTGATGCTGCGAACCGTCCGCGAACGGCTCGCCACGAACCGTTCGTGGCGAGCTCCGGTCAGCTGACACATCCCGGCCAATCTCCAGCAGACCCTCCCTCCCAGACCCTCCCTCCTCCTGGACAGCATCCATGTTGAAGGCAGCTTCAACATGGATGCTGTCCAGGAGGTGAGAGGGTCTGGGAGGGAGGGTCTGCTGGAGATTGGCCGGAATGTGTCAGCTGACCGGAGCTCGCCGCGAACGGTTCATGGCGAACCGCGGCGAGCCAGTTGCGGGAAGTTCGCGAACGGTTCGCAACATCACTAACTAAGACAGCCCCAACAAAAAGTAAAACGGAGAGGTTGTAAAGGTTTCAAAACAGGTTGTTTCAAGTAATAATTTAGGATGGGAAAATGTGTTGAGTCAGTGAGGTGTATTCATGGTTTCATATATCTAACAGAGGAGTGACAAGAGAAGCCACCATGTGGACACATATTGCACCTTATCATCATGATAAATTCCTAGATATTTTTCAAAGAATGAAGGGTGTGGAACTGCACTCAGTCGCCTAAATAATATGAATCCAGGTGCAACAGGACCGGTCCCAGTACCAAGAAACCAAGTTGCTCAATGAGATAAATGTAGAAAAGTCCAGGCACTCCAGAATTCAAAAAAGGCAATTTAGTGAACCCACAGCCAAAGTAACGTTTCGATCAAAACTGGTCTTTGTCACGCTCACCAATACACACATCAGGTACAATTTATAGGTGTACAATTATTTAACAAATCAAATCAATCAAAAACACATGGAATTAAATGTCACTTACCCTAATCTAAGGGATGTCAGCTGTGTAAGAAGGTAGGATAGCCAATGAGAAAAAAAGACCCGGGGGATACCGGGTAAACAAAATTATAGCCCGGAACAAAAATTTCCATACCGCAAGTGATGTCTACATAATGACGTCAGTTTGTAAAACACATAGCGGAACATCTGCTTAAATGGCGTAGCGTGTAATGACGTCAGACGCAACCTACAACACATGCGTCTAAGTAATGACGTCTATAGCATTAAGAGGGCATATTAGACAAGCGCATGTGTGTGTAGTAAATTTAAAACACATGCGCAGTACCGCATTATTCCAAAAGGCTACTAGGGTCTAAAATACCAAAAAATATATATTACAGCGCGATGGTCGCTAATAAAATTGAGGGAAAAGGTGTGTTATTCCATTTTGTTTTCCCGGTATTCCCTGGGTCGCTGAGTGCATGTAATCAATTTTCTTTTTTTCTCATTGGCTATCCTACCTTCTTACACAGCTGACATGAATGAATGTGTAAAGAGCAATGTTAGAAGGGCATATATGCAAAACCAATTAGGTGAAAAAAATTATAAAGGAATAAATAGGGTTTTACACCATCACAACTAGAGTCTAGACCAGTTGTAGTCAACCTGGTCCCTACTGTCCACTAGTGGGCAGTTTTGGGATTTCATCTGGGCAGTAGTGGGTTCTGTAGAAAACACCCAGTGGGCCTCGATGGGACCCTTTCATCTCCGCTGCCGACCTATGCAGAGCCAGCCTTGCTGTAAGCCTTCTCAGGCAGATGAGGAGATCAAAGATCTCCCTCACCGGCCTGCTGGCACTTAGTTCCAGTAGAGGGAGGGAAGGGACTGGGAGGCTCTGGGTTCCTCTCGCGAGCAGGCTGGTCGGAGCGTTGCCGCACGCTACCATGGCAACGCTCCGATACAGTGCTGGAAGAGCTGCAGGGTAAAGTGAACATGCCAACACTGGATCTCCAGGGCTTGAAGCATTAAGTCCCCCCCTCCATGGTAAAAGGTAAGAAGAAGGGATGACATTAACATTAAGTTAGATTTTCACATCTCACCCACCTACACACAGCATAGACCCTAAGCATGCTTCACACACGCTACCACCCTCACACACAATGCCCCCTCAAACACTGCATCTCTCACACACACACACAGACTGCCCCCTCACATGCACACACACACACACACACACACACAAACTGCCCCCCCACACACACTGCCCCCCACATATACACAGAGCCCCCTCTGACACACACACAGACTGCCCCCTCACACACACATACACACACAGCCCCTCTCACGTACACACACAGCCCCTCACACAAACACTCTGCCCCTCACACTTTAACTCTACCCCTCACACACACTCCGCTCCTCACACGCACTAACCCCCTTAAACATGCACATCACCCTTCACACACTCACAGCAACCCTCAAACACGCACAGCACTCTTCACACACAAACAGCACGCTCACACAAAGCACCCTTCACACACACACACACACACACACACACACACAATACACCCTTCACACAATGTCACACACAGCACCCTCTACACACACATAAAAAGGTAGAATAGAAAATAGAAATAAAGGAAAAAAAATAGATATATTTAAGTTCATATTTCTTTTTTTTTTTAAAAACTTAAAAAATTGCACTTGCGCTATGAAATTAGTTACTGTGGCACTGGTGGGCAGTAAAGATATTTTACCATCAACAAAGATACAAAAGTGGGCTGTAGGTAATAAAAGGTTGACTACCTCTGATCTAGACACTAAGACTCATATATATGAAGAAATTCACAGTGAGTAAGATAAGTGTCCACAAGGACATTTTAAGATGTAGACAACATATGTGGTGTTACATGTAAGAAGTTGCTTAATTAAGTATTTATTTCCTCTATGGGGATGGTAAAAAATTGACCCTCTAATCATAGACTTACAACATATCAAGTGCCATTTTTATTTGAACTTGATGTAGAAGATGTTAATAGCTCAGCCTTGACTAGTTTATCTCGTATAGAAGGGGCCTGTTTATGTACCAACATAGGTTTATTTTTGAACTCATCTATATTGGGATGGCAATCAGACAATATGTACCAATATCTGTATACTACTTTCTTTAATCGGGTAGACAGTGTACCAAACCGGGAGATAAGTTTTAACCTATTGTCTGGATTACATCTGTTTTTAGAGGAAAACATTGCTTGTCTATCCATGTTCTTTGCAGATTCCAGTTGATCTTGGAGGATGGATATAGGGCGCATGCACTTGTCTAATATGCCCTCTTAATGCTATAGACATCATTACTCAGACGCCCGTGTTGTAGGTTGCGTCTGACGTCATTACACACTACGCCATTTACGCAGACGTTCCGCTACGTGCTTTACGCATTGATGTCATTATGTAAACGTCACCTGTGGTGTGGAAATTTGTTCCGGGCTATAATTTTGTTTTCCCAGTCTTCCCCAGGTTGTTGAGTGCATGTAATCAATTTTCCTTTTTTTTTTGGCTATCCTACCTTCCTACACAGCTGACATCCCCCAGATTAGGGTAAGTTACACTTAATTCCATATGTTTTGATTGATTTATTGATTTGTTACATAATTGTACACCTATAAATTGTACCTCATGTGTGTATTGGTGACCTTGACAAAGACCAGTTTTTGTCGAAACGTTGCTTTGGCTGTGGGTTCAATACATTGAATTCGGGTGTGCCTCGACTTTTCTACATTTATCTCATAGATAAATTCCTAGATGTCACATTGCCTATCCAAGGGACAGAGGTGTAACTTTGACAAGCTCAAAATACTGTCTTGTTATGTTTCCAAATTTCTTTCATACCTGTTCATGTAAAGCAAAATAAAACCAAATAGGTCAATGGCACACAATGACTGTTAACGATGGCCTGTCATCCGTACTTACACACAGTTATGTTTAGTGCTGATACCACCATTTTCCCACTTAAAACTGTATGGAGCCTCAAGTGGTGCCAGGCGATTATTTATTCTTACACCAATCCCATGTTTACGGTTACCATTTTCTTTTTGCCACTTTTCATTTGTTAATGTTATGAATTCTTCACTTGGACAGGATGTGAAAGTGCAGCCAAGTAGTATGCTAGGCTCCCATTATAAAATCAAATAATCACTTACAGGATCCCAAAGAAGTTTCCATGATAATCTGATTCCACAAAGGGGGCAAATTATTTACAGGCACTTTCAAGGCCTCCCTGAATGAAGAATTCATACGCTTTCAGAATTTTGAACAACAAAGTGGCAAATATACTTTTGTCAACATTTGTCGCAAAACTAAAGATTAGCAGACCTGCTATGCCGTGAACATTCATTGTTGTTAGCATATTTCTAGAGATTTGTAGGGGCCACCACCAGTCAAAACGCTCAACAGTCTTAGTGATTATGGTACGATTGGAATTCTTGTGTTAGGTTTGAAAATGTTTACTATTTTTTTTTTTTACATGTTTTTACAATTTAGAATAATTTATCTCAAATACACTAGGAAAGCTTACACAAAGTTGTGTAAAAACTGCAATCCGCATATTTCCTTTGTAGATGTGGTTGTTGACTCCGTAAGACCAACCATGCATGCATTAGACCTCAAGTTTTTAGTTGTTTTCTTTAATGTGACAAAGTGGTGCACGCCTTAAAACTGCCAGTAAATACAACACAAACTTTATAATAAACGTTCTAGTTAAATATCTAGCTTTTTTGAAAATGCCTTTCATTTTTAGTTATAAAACATGCAAAAAATACCATCAAATAAACAAGATGGCACAGTGTGACAGACCACCTGGCTGTCAGGATTACAAGTTGATCCAACACGCAGAATTGTGTCACACCTAGGACTAAGGATAACGTATAACTGGACCTTAGAATGACTGGACTTAACGCATCCAAGAATAGTCAAAATACTTGCCGAGGTCAGGAACACAGAATCAGACAGAACGATGAGGGAAAACCAAAAGAATACCAGAATTCAGGGAACTCAAAACGAAGCCAAAGTCAAATACCAGAAAATCAAGATCAGGAACGCACTCTCGGATTACCATCAGGATCAAACTACGACAGGGCAATGAGTAAAAGGAGAATTGGGTTTAAATTCCCCTCCAGTGGATCTGATTGGCCATGACCGGCCTTTGACCCCAAAAGCAATTACCAGGTTTCCATGTGCATGATTGCTGCTCAGCACAACTTTTCCAGTCAGGACGGTAAATGCCATTAACCACATTTTTATGTGCAGATGAATACATGACACTGGCACCCTGACAGGGTGCCTCTGCCAATCAATGCTCCTAGTGCTCACCGAGGAGTCCAAGTACTCTATCAGACACCATCAGCACCTTAGACCCCCAAGACCAGGAACCAGCTTCCAGTGGGTGAACCTCTCCTA